ACATGCATGCGAAGAAGTGGGTATTCACCCACGAAAGCTCATGCTCCAATACGTCTGTTAGTCTATAAGGTGCCACAGGACTCTTTGCTCTTTGAAGGCAGACGCTTCTTCTCTTTTCAGCAAGTAATGGATAGAAATGGATTACGGTGAGATTAGGAGTTATTGTATAAACAACTGCTGGCTTGTCCTTCTCAATCCCTCCAGTGAGAGCTTCCCAAACGAGTGATTGCTAATCAGCTGTTAGACATTGTGATGGTGGCTAACGGGGTTACTAAAATCCTAGGTGGAGTCGTATAAAATGTCCAGAAAAAAACCTTCAAACATGCAATGGGAGAATGATGTGGAAGTTCTGATCACATCAACGTTTTTTAAACTAGGCACACACAAGCAGTAGGGAAGCAAAATGAAAGCTAATAACCATAAAATGAACACCATGGGCATTGTGCTAGTTGCACAGGTTTGATCCAAGAGTGAAAAATAACTGTTGGAGATGAGACCAGCTAAGGGAAAAGCTAACTCATATTCTGTGATTAGTCTCCAAAATCAGCTTCCACTGGTTAAAAAGAGTTAGACATGATTAATCTGATCTGGAGAGCTAATCTGCAGCTAGTATTTTCACCTGACTTGTTCTGAATCACAACCACCAGAGTAGATGTAAGAAATGGCTATCCATTACTTTTTCCCATGAAAAAGGCTCATTTTATGACAAAAGGCTACTAAAGTCATCTCCACAATTCAAGACTGGTGCAGTGACCTTGTGGAAGTTCTTTCTTTCCAATGAATAATGGAACACATACAAAATGAAGCAGCTAGGGCTTGAGGCTCTTCTAGCCACATCCGCAAAACTGAGGACAGCTGCAGATGTTCTGTGACTGGAGGAGCTCCAATTCAGCAAGCTGCTTCAACACATGCTTAAATCCCATTCATGTTGATGGGACATACGCACATGCTTAAAGTTACATACATGCTGAAATGCCCTGATGAACAAGGCCTTGAAGACCCCAGTCTGCCTCCATGCTGACTGCTCTGAACCTGGAACTCCTCAGGCTTATTCTCAAAATTTACCTCTCTTGGTTTTGTTTTCTTCTTTATTACCCCTCCTGTTAGCTGCTTGGAAACCCTACTTCATTCCCATGTAGTGCTGGCCTGTATTCAGATGGGCTTCTTATGTGCTCTGTGGAACTACAATTTTACATGTTGTGTGGAGTGGACCTACATGCTAATATATTTATATAAATGTTATTTTGCTTGTTATTGTGTTAGCTTAAGTGTTAAGTATCTTGCATGAGTGTATCTAATGATCTGTACATATATATAGACCTTCAGGAGTGTATGAATCTATATCTATGTATACATAAAAATTACTATTTAGTGTTTAGCAGTCCAGTAGCCCATCTTGACAAGGAATATATGAGGCTGATTATGTATGAAAAAAGGGGGAAAATCTGTTTAATAATGAAGTTCCTAAATTCCCAGATATTTTTTGGACCATATAAGCAAGTCAAAAGAAAAAGTTCTTTCTCAGGGATGAATTGACAGCTCTAGGTTTGTCAGCACCAGTCCTCTCTCCAGCAAAGCTAAATTCACATAAAGATCAGAAACAGCATATATTTCTAATTCTGATGGGAAAGCCTTTCTTTTTTTTCAGCTGGAAATCAGAGGGCTCTTTAGCTAATTTGGAGAATGGGTCTCATATTGGGTTTTCTGGTTTGTCAAACTTTTAATGGTTCCTTATATAGCTCAATGTTTGTTTCATATAGATTCTTATGTCACTAAGAATAACGTTTAGTGCTTTCTGGAATATCTAAAATTATTTTTACAGTGTTGAAGTTTCATTATTTTGTTTTCTGCTCAAGGTGATTTTTTATGACTTTTTTTTACCTTCATAGAACATTTCTACAATTTATTTATTGCAGAAACATATTATGCTGTGCTTAGTTGATTATGATACCTAGACTCATGGTGACTAATTCAGCTCTGGTGTAAATGGGTGCAACTCCCATTGATTTCAGTTTGGTGTCTGATTGAGATGTCCTATCATGTACATGTATATTTTTACGTTCTGAAAATTTGATGCATTATATTTTTCAGTGCTCACACATAAACTATACTTAAGTACATATATTTGTTCCATATGGTCAATTTCAGATCGATTTACTTTCCTATTATCTACTCATTAACATATTGGAAAATATAGCACAGCATATATTAAAACTCTTATCAATCAGAAATAACAGGAGCAAATATTCCTAGTGCATGGGAAGACTTTTTGGACGGCATGATGTAGAGTGTTTACCTGTATACTTTTCTCCAATACACTCCATCATGCCTTCAAAAGGCACCCTTTGACTGCCTGTCAGGGACTAAATGCAGTGTAATAGGGGTGTGGAATCAGTGTGCATAGCAGTGTGGCCTGTGTGAGTTATTACTGCTACTCTGTGGAGACTATTTCCTATAGAAAGTGGCGTGTCAGGCTGCTACAGGTGATGCACTCCACACAGCCATGCATATTACCTACTAATGGCAGCTCCGGTTTCTGACACCTAAAAAAGTTTGAAAGTGAAAAGATGCCGCCCCCTTGCCCTCCTAAATTTCCCCACTGAAGTTTACATAAATAGTGAGATTCATTTTGCTTTTCTGAAAAATTAGCTGTTTTGTAACTACATACCCAGCTCTTTCAGACCAGCATTACATTTGCTTCTCACTGATCAATTGAATCGTTATCTGTGATAAGACCAAATATCCTAAACCACTATTTTTCCCCTCTTTCTTCTATAAATAAGCAAAAGGCTGTCTTGTGGGCCTATGCTCTCTTTGAATCAATCAGTCCCCATGCACTGATTTTCAAAACATATAGCTGAAACAGTGTTTATACGTATGTCTACACTTTCCCAAAGGACCTGTGATTTTCGGTGCCTATCTTGAAACCCATCAAAGTGGCCTGATTTTTAGAAAGTGTGGAGCACCTGGCCTTTCAAGTTATCTCAGATTGGGCCCCCAAATGCTGAGGCACTCCAAATATCTAGTCACTTTGGAAAATCCCACTCAATTGACCAGAGTGTGTCAACAGTATTTCACATTGTGCCTATGACCACGCTTCTCACCAGTAAGCTATATCTAAGTAGTTAAAAATGTAACAAAAATGAGACGCTGCAAACCTTGTATAAAGCCATATGTTACTAGAAAATGGAAAATGTTGTCAACCATTGGTTTGTTCTACGAAAAGTATAATGGATAAGTTGTTTTTTACATTTTCAATTACTTAGTCATCATTTCAGTGGGCAACAGAAGGAAAATCAATGTTAAAAATGAGGGATGTTTTACTTAATGCTAAGAGGTAGACACACACTATTATTTTCACACCTAATTCACATGATGGATTAGATATGGGATGAGTTCCATGCCAAATGAGCAATCCAGAGGCACAGGGTCTTAGCACAAAACAGAACGCATTACCTATGCCACCCTATTGCTAATGCAACAGAAAATTAAAACAAAAACCAACTCCTTACAATCCAAGTGATTGACAGAAATCTTGACAGTGCAATTGACTAATCTGGGCTTCTGAAACACTCAGTCAAACGGAATGAGAGAGAGAGCTCTTTCTCTAATGAGCTAATAGTTATGCCTTCCGCATAGCAAGGAAAACAAATTAGTCATGTTAAAAAAAAACAGGAAGCTTAACAAATGGTAACAAAGCTTGGCATAAAGAGTAACCTTTAGACTGCTAACATGATGTGTGAAGTCCCATCATTTTTCTAAATATTGCCAGTTTAATAATCATTATAGCACCATCAATCTCAGGAGTAAAATCAGCCCTCCCCCAACCTCACAATAAACCAGCGATCATTCTGTTATAAAATCCTGCTACCAACTTTACAGTGTTGTTGAAACACTAATCTGACAGGAGCCTTAATCTAAATTCATTTATGGACGTGAAAACCATTTTAAAAGTCACAATAATATCATACATTTATGCTTTCATCCCAAAGCATTTGACAAACGACAAGCAACATCCTAAAGCCTTTATTCCCTTATTACGCAGGTGAAGCTACTGTT